TTGGCTTATTTGCCTTCTCCAATCTGCTTCTCTCTTCCTTCTTTGTTTCGTCTTCCTGATTGCCTGTTCAAATCATATGAAATATACATATTCAAAATCCATTCTCGTATCTGACTTATTTAATTCCGTTATTTACCAACGCGAGTTAAATCGATAATAATATACAAGGATTGACGATGTGTATATTTCAATAACAATTATTCATACGATCGACCTGTAGTCAGATACAGGGCCACAAAAAAAAATAAATAACATTAAAGTGCGTTAAAATAATAAAAACGCTTAAACATTGAAATTTCACTTGATATTTTTTTTGTCGAATCTATTATTATTTCTTAAATATTTCGAGTTTAAGCTACATTAGTCTTCACTCAACAGAGTAATTGTTGTATATTGATGAAATCTTAAATCACGACTCAACAGAATTAGAGAAACAATGGGGTATGTAAGGGACAACGCAAAGCAGATGTACAAATGATGTATTTAATGTACACTTTTCATATTTTACTAAGGCACTATAATTCTGCCCTAAACAATTAATTGGTCTTTATCACATGAGTTCTCGTTCATTACAACATTACTAGACACCATTCCTGAATTGAGTCGTGTTTTTCTGACTCATTAATACACATTTGTGAGAAGTTTACAACTAGACTAAAACGAATGTTCAATGTTTCGTGGTTTTTAATGCTTCTAGAGTTGGACAATAGTTTGTGATAAAAGCTATTTTTGTACAAACAAATTTCTGTCTTTATTGAAAATGAATCCCTCTTCTCACTGATAAGTGAGACAATGGTTCAGACTAAGTTACAGTGACAAGATTAAAATCAATTCCATGAACGTAACTTAGACATGACATGAAGATAATAAAAAAGGAACCACGAATGTCTAGAATAACATTGGCTCCAGGTTATCTGTAATACCAGTCGGTCTTTAAATAATCGATAGTTGTCAATACAACAGTATGTCATTGACAGTATTTAAAACAAGATTACCGTATCAAGAATTTGTAAGACTTCAGATAACCATGTTCGAAGACTTTTTCCTAAAGTATTTCATTTATCAATAATGCGTACATAACAAATCTGTTCTTATCTTGTTTACATAGTTTTACATTCAAGAGTCTCTGTTGAGAGTTAGAAATTCCGTTTAAATGGAGTCGCGTGAATAACTTTCAACAACTGTCCCCTAAATTCTGTCACGCTAACCAAATTGACAAGAATGTCATTAATGATCGCTCCCCAAAAAGAAATATTTGCCTACAGTTTAGTGAACTGATTAGTAAAACTACCCATACACCTTTACATATATATATATATTTGCTAGAGATCCGGCGGATGATTAGTTTTGAACATCTCATCTAGTTAGATTCCATTTGAAAACCCTGAAATCCATTATCCCTTTTGCCTAAAAAAGTTATATCAATCAATATATAGTAATGCTATCGTTACTCTAGAAAAGTAACATACTTAACTTTTATTAGTACTGTGTGTAAGTTGTTCACTTTTAATAAAATACACGTTGCTTAAGAATTCCAACAAATAACTAAACTGTAAGGTACTGAAGAAAACTTGCAAAAGAACAAAAGTACTTTTTAAGTAATGATTTTGCTTTATTTTTCTTTAATAAAATTTTACTTGGACAGTACATTCCTAACATATGAGTTCATTAAAAATTATCATTCACTTTCGTAATTTATAATTATTACATGATTATCAAGTCAGTTGTGTGAAACGGAGTTTAGTAACTCATTCGTTATATAAGATATTTGCATGCGCTTTGAGAAAGAAGAGTAATTTTGAGACAAAGATGTTACTTCTCAGATGATAAACGTTGATAATGATATTACACCTTACGGTGAAAACCAATTTCAAGTCTATCTTAACTACCTATAACAATAATGTTCTTATTAGAAATAAATTGTGATTGGGTATGTGAAATTGTAAAGGAAATTTATACAACCTATAAAACCAACATATTGAGAGCATTAATCAAAGACTGTTATATCAAAGGTAAACTAAAGTTGAAAATACAGGCCATTAGGATCTAACTCAATAATTTTAAAATATCATTGATATCGGGATTTATGTTTATTGAATGGAAGTCAGTATTCAATGCTTTCTCTATTTCACGTTCTCATGATATTCCTTTGAAAACGTAAATGAAGTCCTCACAAAACTAACCTAAAAAGAATTCTTAAGAATGGATTCCTGAAGTCATTGTAGCAAGTTGTTTTGTACCTGCTAGGGGGATGGAGAAGTTAATTCCCATTAGTCATTCTATTCTAATAGTAGCTACCATAGGGTTCAGTAGGAACAAAGAAAACATCTGATCCCATTCGAATATTAGTAACTATTGAAGTATCAATTTCTTCAACAAGTGTTTTAAAATTTTTTTAAGGACTATTCTTGAGAAACCGTTTCCAACTCTTCCATGAGATGGTTATGATCCAGAACTTATTATTTGGTCGTTTCCGTATTATGATATCGCAGAACTAGTGTCCAAATATACTTTTATATACGCTACATTGCTTATATTTCTTTTAGTCATTATTAACGTTAAATATGACTGAGCATTTATTCTTTATTGTTTATTGAGTAAACAGCATCCATCAAATTAAGTGTGGTTTCAACTTAATTTAACTCAACATTTGAAAAATGGAAAGACTTTAATTCCTTCCTTAGATATCATATCACAAATAGTCATCAAAGACGAGTACTTCTCACAGTAAACAAAGCAAAATGATCACATTTCATGGACATCGTAGAGCATGTCTCCAATTAATTAGTCAAGTATACAGATAGACCATAAGAAAGCCTATGAGACGGTTTATATTCGGACTATTCACAGCTGCCATACAAACAGTAAGGTCATAGTCCTACCAATAGTCGAACTAGAGAAATAAATACCTTTTGTGAGTATCACGGTTTTCAAACCACAGATCTAAATACTATGTTTCATTTATTTGGAATGATATTGTAGAAGTCTGACTAATCGTAGGACTGTAACCATAATGCCTTACCAACTGAGATATTCTTACCTTTAGTAAAACTGCGTAGACATCTGCCTACCTGAATATATTGACGGTAATAATAAGACATCGGTCGACCAATGGCGTCAACTGAAAACAACCTTCACAATCACATACTGATGAATACAAATTTGTTTGGTAGTCGATAGGCACATCTATTTAAAACCTGAGGAAGGGCGTCCATCCGTTCTACACACCCACATTCAATTATCAAATCAGTCCGGTTTTCTCGGGTTTGCTCTTTACGAACTTTAGTTAAGCGTCGGATGATTATCAGTACTGACCTTTAAGGCATTACGTCTAACATACTGACCCCCCTTTAGTCACCACAACAAGACTTCCGTCTATCCTTATGAACTGGAACAACCGGCGGTCGAGATTACTTCTAGCTCCCAAACTCAAGACATGATAACACTATACTGGCTCCGAAAGTGAGGGATGATCTTTGTATGATATTCTACAGAGGCTTATCGTCTGACTTGGTAAGTCTTAAATGTTCAAAACATCAATCAATATGAAGTCCGGAAGGTTATTTCAAGAGACAAAGGAGTAACGTTTCTCAAGCTCAAATCGTTGGAACTGGTTGCGTAAGCAGATTAAAGTGGTCAAGCAGAGTTGATAACATCCCCAGAAAAGCTGATCCTGGTGTTCGGCAGAAATATTAGTGTTGTCAGTGTGGATGCTGACATTGACCACGCTGTAGTAAAGAGCCTATGAAACAATCTACTTCACAACTCCGGGCGAATGACCACGGAGAAAAACACAAGGGTGTCCAAACCTAGTCAGTCAATCAGCCTGTACATAACTTTGAAATGTTAACAGCATCCTTCCAAACTATGAGTACGTCATCCCATTACTATACAACTCCAACATAGGAAAGCATTAAAGTCAGAGACACTGGGAGACCCCAGAAACGGTGGAGGAATTTTCACCAAACAAAGGGACCTGCACATTACACCTATATCTACGGACGTTCCAGAATACCGAGGACACGATGTCAACTGACGAAACACTTACGGACCCCAACCAACCAGTACAATATGCTAGCTATTTGGAATGACAGACAGGTCCCGATATTTATTTGTCTCGATAGCTGTTGGAGTGCTAACTCCCCGAATTCGCATACAAACCTACTTTTGTTGGATTTCACTACAACCGCGATTACAAGCCACCTTGAAACATGTTTCCCACACGACAAGACCCGACTTCTACACAAAGTCTATAAGTGTTTGGATTGTTTCCTGCGTATGGGTATCTGTCAAAATGCAACACGAATGTTAGAGACATATTAACGAAGCAATATGGCATGCTATTTTTCTAAGTGCACAAAACTGCGAGATGATTGACTAGACATCCCAATGACCTTATAATGAGTTTGAACCTTTCCATAGAAAACGTACCACGTCAATGACAAAACGTATGGTAAATTGTAAACGTACACTTAATGAAAGCCGAGATTGTACTAGACTTATTAATAATCACGAAGGTAAACACAATCCTAAAAACAGTTCAAATACGATCAACAGAGATTAGCCAGCGTAACAAAATCATTGATGAGAACTAATTGATCCAGTTAGAATGAAGTTAGACAATAACTTAGAAATCCCCATAAAATACACACCAGTTAATTTAGGCTGGTACAAACTGGTATCAAAATGTCATACAATGAGACGAATTTGTTAGTTTAAAGGTTGATATTGGCTATGTAGGGATCAGATGTCTAAAATGGCAAGTCCTAAATTTATAAACAAGATAAGAAATACTAAACCTTTTGCTGTGAACCGTAGAAATCGTCACGTAAAAGTACATTTCCAACAAAACGACAGATCTCTTTTGTATAGAAATTCATAGTATTACAGCAATTAATAATGAGAATGCACAAAGCTTCGAATAAAAAAGCTGCAAGGAATAAAAACGTTGTGATTCGGGAGAGGCGCAGATTACAGGAGCGAAACGAACATTTGTGTGATCAATGGATAGCTTTTTCCGCAGCAATGTCTAAAATGAAGAACGAAAAAGTTTTAGTGAAGTGTTACACAAAATTTTGTCAGAATACAATTTCAGTAAGGAAAGTTTCATAGAAGTGCCTTACCTTCCTTGGTAGGAAGAGGGTTCTTTTCCTTTGTTGAGGTACGCTTCAAAGAATGTGGTGTTTCGATCTCTTGTAGCAGCTGCTTCTCAGTTTTCTCCTTCTCAATAACTGCAGAGAAAGGATAAGCAAATAAAATTATTGACCTAAGGTTGGGTTAATAATCTTCGTTATCAAATGTTAAAACTTGGTGTAACGAAGTACAACGTCCCACTGGTAAGCTTTGTTGCACGTACTTGTTGTAGTTGAAGGACAATCAAGAATAAAGTACGATTACGACGGGCAACTACATACTGTTTGGTGAAGTGCTTAAATATACCGTGAGATTGGGTTTCTACTACCTTTAATATTTTGAGATGTGGTCAGCAGCTTCAAATAAAAGTCTAAAACAAACAGCATAGTAGTCTCGTTACACCCTACAAGTCTTGGGTTAGCTTTTCAATTTGTTAAGTGCACTTCCTTGACCATGTTTCTGCGTAGCCTGGACATTTATGATGAGATTAGGCACTTGGTCAACAAAAATGCTAATCCGAACATAGCTTGAAAGAATACGGTTCGTACTGACTGGCCAGGTCAAAACAATGTGATAGATTACAAGTTTAAAGCTTACCGACAACCAGTAACATTTACCAATCAGGACTTCAGAAAACTCATAGAAACAATGACAACGGGGGAACTACACCCTCAGGCGGTAATCTGTCCAGGTGATATAAAATTAAGTAACATCCCCGAATCGTGAGAATGAGCAACAACAGAATGAGAAAATCTAACTCAATAGCAGCTAGGCTCAATCACTCACACAAAAAGCTGAGTTGAGTTCTGAAATAGTTGAATCAAAACTCAAAGACAAAAATATACTATATTGCGATTAAAAGGATATCTTATGTTGGTCATAAATTGATACAAGTGATAGTAGGGTACCCAAGAGCAAGCACAATTGCAGGAGCAAACGGTATGGAAACAAAGACAAAAACTATTGCTCCTCACCTTCTTTGTTTGGCAATACGACTTTTTCTTCAGTCTCAACATGTCGTAATTTTTGTTTGTCAAAACCGTCGATATCCTCTAGTACTTTCCCAGCGTCAGCCATAACTTACGTATTGAAATTGATCTCTAGTCCGGTTGTATATTCTCTTGGCGCAGTAAAACAAAAACATTTACATGACGATGTACAATTTTTAACAACCTGAGATATTTGACAAACCAATACCATTATGTCATCGTATTATTTTAAGATTGACATTTTGAATTTAACGTACCTTTATCGTTCCTCTAAACGATGATGTAGTTCATTGATGTTACCTTGTCTAGGAAATCAGTATGCCTATAAGATCATAAAAGTGCCGTCAGTGAACTCGCCGATGTAATCGACTATTTCCGGATACTCTACATGTGTACTGATTTTCTTAATGTGACCGTAATAAAATATGATATTGTATCAATTGTGAATGACATTGCAAGGAAATGATACTTCATTTCCAGTTTAGGAAGGATATTATGCAGAAGCCTCCTTATTCGTCTTGGCTTTGTGATCCCTCAGTTAGCTTAAATTTTCGTGAACAAAAGGATGCTACAAGTATTCGGAGCTTGACAATGGCTTAAACAGTAACACGTTTTGATCGAAATATGCCAACTCGAGCAAATTAAAAACCAAAAGTGAGGGAGTTCGTAGATATATTTAGAAGGCCATCGTTTTGTCGAGGAATATTTTATCTAAGCTGGCCAATAATTGAAAGGGATATGTAGCATGGCTTACCCACTCATGATCTGGTGCGGATGCGCGACCGAGAGTCTTCAGCTAGATGAGTCCATTAAGACTAATGTTGTCAGCATCAAATGTCGAAAACGTACAGAACCACTGATTTGGGGGATTTATTTGCCACTACAGCTCACTCTCTACCTAGTGTGGTGGTGATGACTCTAAGACGTGACCAGTCAGAAGTTCAAAGTCGACGAGTTTGTCGTTGTTAAACACTATTCTGAAAGATTGTTATGGTCAGAAGCGTTGGGTTGCCTTCCATTACTATCAAGAGTAATGTGTTACAATATATAAATGAAACACAGATACGATAAAAATTTCAATTCTTCGTAATCTTCGTCGGTTTTTCATCCTTTCTAGCCGTCCTAAAATACAAATATATGTTGTGTCACTGCATGTCGAACTACACGGGCGGAAAAAAGGAAAGTAAACTTACATACATGCAATGGAGTAGGAAGGGTTTTCGCACAATGAATATTTGTTGTATTTTCTGGAGAAAAAGTACATACATATAAGCATATTGGTAATCAGGAAATATTCTTGTTTTCTCTTGGAGTTAAAAAAATATGAACATATAAAAGAGGTTTGTTTTCGTCTATTTTGACATAATAATGCAAAGCGAAAATCGGGATGAAACAACGCACAATGTAGTGCCTTATGAATTGTAGTCGTTTAGATGTTTTGGAAAACTTACTTTTCTTTCAAAACGCGTTGCTTTAGGTTGGCTGTCAGGTACTGCCGAAATTTCGTCGCCACTTTTTGATCGGATGGATTTTTGTAATTGTGGGGTCTATGTTGCTCTATTGTACCGTAGAAAAGTCAACATTATTAAGGTGTCCTTCTAAAAATGCAACGTTAAATACGTTCTTGTTGACGGCATAGTACTTAGGCTCAACCTGAAGGATTTTGAAGTGCCCTTCTTATGCCGTTTCGAAAGATCGTTCAAGTCAGTCGCGACATACGGAGCATATAAAATATTAACGGAAGGGTTATTTGTTCAAAAATACAAATAAAAAATTTGAAGCTGAATGTTTAAAACCAAGCTATTTATGTTTTAGAGTCAGTGTTGTCAGTCCACATTAGCCGCTCTTAGCCTTGTCGGAATGTGATTGATGATTCAATATCCAACGAATCAGTTTACCAAGGCTAGAATACACTTCGCATCGCAAAATGACTTTCCTGTAGTTCATTATCATGTCGGTAATCTTACACAATTAAGTCACTCACACATAGTTTGTAAATATTCCTTTTCTTTCGTGTGGTGACTGTAGGGATTTTTTACCAACATTTGGTATGGAAGTTGTAGTATTCAAGCTTAGGTCGATTTCATTAGCTTATCTATGATGATAGACTAATAGCCTTAGTGTAATATTTTTGAATGTCTTGATGTTGCTGCCTAGTCCATATGACCATATGTGGAAGTTACACCATCGTATACACTGACTCGATCTACGTGTCAGTTGGACACATTGTCTATAAGAACCTCTGAAGAAGGTTCGGGTTGGTGATAGAGTAATGTATTTAATAAAACAACTAAGGAGATATATAAGGTGAGCAACCCCGTATGGTGGAGCCATGAAGTTTCGATGGGTGAGCCCCCGTTAACTTTTAAATGTTCTCCGATCAACATAAGTCATCTTAGATGCTGCAATTTCAGCTTCAGGGATCGTGTGCTTGGGAGTCCGTGCTATTCTGCTGTCACTTCTAAGTAATTAGTCGCATAGATACTGCGTCACTAGGTATGGGTAGATTGTGCTTTTAATTAACTAATACACTAGTCTGCAATGGTGTTCAGATATAATGCCACGCTTATCCGAATGTCTGGCACAATTATTCGGCCGGACACCGAAAAAACGTTCAGCAAACGCCCTTTCTATGGAAGGAGACACACATAGTCAGTTGAAAAACGTGGTTTAAATTCTAAAGGTACAAATAGATATAGAAATGTGATTAGGTAAGGATAATACTTTTGAATGAGTCGAACTGTGCCTCCCATATATTCTGTCCAGTTACTAAAGAATACCGCCTGAAAATAATTAAAGGAAACAATGATTATTGAGAAGAAGAGCTTACAGGACAGCATGTACGGACAGATGGTTGTAAGAATTTTTAGCCAACAATCCAGAGAATAAATGTTTTACATAAAATCTGTTTGGATTTAGCTAGTCGTATTTATAAATAGTGAGAAGATCAAGATTAGTTTAAAATGATTTGGAAGTCGTAGGTTCGAATAACACTCGTGTACGAATATATTAAATTTAGACAACCCAGAGGCGACAAAGAAGAATGGGATGATAGTTTTCAGTAAAGGTCCATTTGATCTGTATATGGATGGAGTACCTCAATCGATTCAAATTCGGCTGTCTAAACTACGTTAATATATGAACTATGTAGGACATACTAGCAAGTAATCAGTGAGTGAGTGCCTAGTAGGTCAGAAAATAGGTATACAGAGAAACGTTATTCCAAAATGTCTTATACAGAGAAAATAATTCGTGACTGAACCCTGTATAATTGGGAGAAATAACCTTTAAAAGTATGTATCACGTGCACAAGAGACTTGTATATGTTACAGTGAACTGGGAAAGTACGAAATGTGATTCCCTTGGCATGTGGATTTAGCAAAAAATAATCAATGTGTTTGCTTTGCTTACCTACACTTGTTAGTCCTCGTTGAGGAGCGTAGGCTAACCTTTAGCATTCTCCATCGAACTCTGTCCTGGACAATCCCTTCTAGTCGCTACTCATCTTTTTCATGTCTGTTTACAATTCTCGACGCAGTGTGTTCTTTTGATCTTCCTCTTTTCCGTTTCCCTTTAGGATTAAAAGTTGTCACTGGCTTCGTAATGCCTTTCGGTGATTTCCTCAGTGTGTGTTCTGTCCAATTCCAACGTCTTTTCCTAATTTCCTTTCTAGACGGTAGGTGATTTGTTCTCTCCAACAGTAGGCTGTTGCTGATGGTAGTCGGCCAACGAACATTGAGTATCCTATGTAGACAACTATTTGGAAATACTAATACTCTCTTGATAATAGTAAAACAGTCCTGACGTTCGTATTGTAGATTCCGACTTTCATGCTGGTTGACAGATGGTTTGAGTCCCATATGTTCTATCAATCCTCGCCTTTATATCTGCACCTGTTTTTTAAACGTTGCTTAGCTTAGATTGGTTTCTGGTCTCATTAAAAATCAATAATCTTCACAACCAATGCACTAGTATTTTGCTGAACAGAAGTGGATTCATAACTCTTCATAACCAACAAGGGGCACAAGTTTCATGTGAATGACATATTATGACAGGACTAAGAGTTGGCATGTGAACATGCGAACTTAACATGAAAGTCATTAAAATTTAGAAAAACAGTAACTCCGATACTAATCATAATTCCCAACCTTATTTTATTATTTGTATATGACCATGAAGTCGCTGTCCCAATTTCATTAGTTCAGTAGCAAACTTCAGGTTTATCGGACGAATAAAAATAATTTACCATTAATTTTCATAGAATAGGTGCATCGATAGTCCTAGAGAATGCACGCATATATATGTATGTAAACAAACAGTCACAACTGACTCATGGAAAACTAGTATCTTTTGTGCACCGATTCAAAAACAGACCTTGCAATATTAACGCGGTAACCCAATAAAACGACAAAAAATTAGGTTCAGTAACTGTATTTCGTTGGTTCTAATTCTCTGAAACAGTGCACTATGAGACGATGGACTCAGGTTCGGAAGACAACATCCTTAATTAGTTTGTTGAGGTGCAAAAAGAGTGAAAGGTGGCCTGCTACATAATCCTGTCATCTAGATATTTTTACAAGTTGTCTGGATCCTTGTTAGTGTGAGTCTATCCTTGTTTATTGCTTATTTGCTTTTTACTCTACTGCACACCATGTTGACTAGCAATTAATATTATTCCTCCACTCGTTACCTAATCTACAACCCATATACTTCTATACTTTTCCGCCACTATCCTACATTACACCCCTCTTTATGCTTATACTTTAATAGGCAAACTATACTTTATACTATAGTCAATTAAAGCACTGCATCGATGCCTTACCCACAGTTCATAATTTGTAACTGCCTGATAAGCTTGTAAAATGGTACTTATAGAAATAGTGTTTTCCAACAGATTGTGAAACAGAGGATTGTGTGAGGTATGATATATATCCAAGAATAAGCTTAAATGAGCCTAACATCACAAAAGGAGGGAGGGTGGAGTTACTGACCAGCAAGCATTGATGGTGAGGGCGATGACTTCAATCCACCCGTGTTTGTGGGACAGAACATTTTGTATGTATCAGGCTCTCTATGATTGAGCATAAG